AACCATTCAGGGAATCGTGATTTGCCGGGTTTGGAGAAGTGTGGAATATAAAGATACATGCCTTGAAGAACAATCTGCGTGAAGTTTGAAAGAGACCTGGGAACATCCGATTTAAAACAACAATCCTTCCAGTGATAACAGGCCAGAAAGTCAAAAAACCGTCCGAGTTGGCTGAATCGTAACGCCAAAAGGTGCGTCTGGAGTTTGGTGGTGAAGTGGAGTGAGAGAACTGAGTAAGAAAAGAAATGAGACAACGATCCAATGAGTCTAATTGGGAAAGGGAAGTGATGTTGGAGAAAGAAGAGAGAATGGATGCGAGAATGAGGTCAAGGGTGTGGGTGCGGTCGCTAATACGATCAGGGGTGCGTGTGGGGTCACCTAGTTGACTTAGGTTGTTGACCACAGCAAAAGCCTTGGCTTCGCGTCGCACGCAGGTTGTGTCTGAGGAGTGCTTCAGCCATTGCTTGTTGTGGACATTGAAATTTCCGACAATGGTGATTTGGCTGTTAGAATGTGCCAATATAACTGTTTCAATGTTGGAAAACAGAATATCAGAAATAGGAGAATCACTGCTGCTCGGGGAGCGGTAAACACTAGAAAAGCACTGTTTGAAAAAAGGGAATCGAAGTTTCAGTCACAAGCTGAAATTCACGGTTAAAGAAGTCCAAGTGTGAAAGTCGAGAAGAAGCGACAGAATGATGGATATAGCCGAAAACATCAACTTTAGAAAGAAAAGAAGAATGGAGGAATTGATTAGGGAACTGAAGATGAGCAGTGTCTGACGAGGGGGAGATTTGTATCTCCGTCAAGAATAAAGCCAAGGGAAAGAAGATTGTAGAAAGTGGTGTGCCGAATTAACGTTTCGATTTAAACCACGAATGTTGGTGAGGGATATGGAGTATCGTGAGTTCATAGGTAGAGTGCGCATTTTGTGATTTCTGTGAATAAGTGTGAATAAGTGGTTTTTTCAACCCCTGCGTTCGGAATTCTAGTTAGACAGGGGCACAAAATTGCGCTCTGTTGAAATAGCTCAACATAAGCTAAATTCATTTTATCAGGTATCACATAAAACCATTAACCAAAATGGAGTACCCAACCAACAACAAACCACCTGTTCATCTGGTTATACTCCCTTTGGATGGGATCAAACGTTCAAGGTGCCCTGTACACCTCCATGCCCAATCAAGCTGATGATCACTACCCCGAATAGGAAGCTCTTTGTGGAGTATGGTTCCTACGCCCCTTCTCGGTTTGTTTTGAATCAGGGTTTTCTGCCAAATCCGCTAGGTGAAATGCCAGTGGTTCACTGAAACGGTTATAGTCCTTGATATGGGCTTTTCCTCTCCTCAGTTTAATAGGAAACATCTCCCCGAGAGGGCAGTGGGCAGGGCTTCCTCAGCGGAAGCTATTTGAGACGCTTGTTCATATGAGAGCATTTCGCGAGGTGCAAGGAAAGGTAATCAGCTGCAACTCGAAACACTCACCCCCGACTTTCAGAGGCGAAGAGTCAGGAGTTCAAATATCGAAGGATCATTTCAACTAGGGGTAAACGGAAATCTGTAGTGCAGCCGAGTGTATGTTTAGCTGTTTAAACTGAGTTCTGTGCATGGAGCTAAATTCTAAAGGAGGGTCTCTACCCAGAAATGTTGAGGTGGTATTTCACTGTCAAAGCATCTGCTCACGAAAACGTTTCACAAATGCATCGCAATTACTTATCTAACGGAACTTATCAAAGTAACTCACTGACGTGCAAACTATAGACGCTTATATCCTCCATTTTGATTGTTCTATTTGATGAAACATGTGTGATGTTTTCATGGTATCCAATGTTGGCTGTTTTATTTGCTTGTCTCAACCCCCCCCTCCCCGCTCCCCCCGCCTTTGATCTTCTTGATAGGATAACACCACGATCAGAATGACATTGATTTTGGGTCGACAAGATCACGATTTAACGCATCAGATTGTGCTCACACATTTCGGTCTTTGGAACTGCATGCACGTGAAAAATTTGCTAACTCTGGGTCATGTGAGTGCACAAATACTGCCGATAATTGTCAGCCATATGTGTGTGTGTGTGATTTGTGTTTTTGCAATTCTAAACCCACGATTTGCATAACCTATCACATATTCTGGGACCGTCAGTGATTCATTCCCTAGCAGTTTGTCAGAAATGTTCATTTGGACAAACGAAATCACAACAACGCTGCAACAAGCTATTGGATCAGGATAAATGGATAGGGCAAAGCCAGGTATCATGTGTGAATTGGACACGATGTGAGAAATGTTAGACAAGAATGAATAAAAATGTGTGAAAATATGAGAAAAACACTGTAAATGAGTAATTGGGGAGAATGTAAAAGGTGTCACACGGGGCAATCACTCTAATGACCATGGTAACAGCAAAGTTTCCACTCTGTTGCAGCTGACGCAACGAAACTGAGTAGAGAAGGGAGAAGCCACAGGTAACAGAATGTTACCAATGGGATTGTGGGTTGAATGTATGAATTAGTCAGGGAATGAAAGAGAAAAATATGATTTCTGTCAGCTAGTAAATAGGTTCGAATTTGATCTTACTATTTAAGTGAAATGCTGTTACTTCTTTCACAATTATTACCATTGTTAAGTATCTTGTCAAGTGTGCATTTTAATGTCAGAAATCCGTAAGCAATCGCGTTTGATCCAAAGGAATCGGTTTTATTCGAGAGAAACTCGGTCTGAACGTAATTTACTCATTGGGTTATTGAGGGCCTAGACTGACTCCATTCATGCAATGAATCATGCTCACCTTCACGTCTGGGCATGGTGACCGACTTATCGATCAATCCTAATGTGATTCGCTTCTTTATCCGACCGACAGAGGTCAATTAACTGCGGGTTCGTACCTATGACGCACACTCGATCAACGATCACGAATATGACGTTCCCGGGTGGAACGAGAGTGTGTGTGGAGGAGGGGGGCTCGGGGGGGAGAACGGCGCAGCTTGCACCACCGAAAAATTCATCCTCGCTCGGCAACTCACTCAAAAAGTATTTTTGTTCGTTTACCGAGAAATTAGTTCATTCGAAGTGGAGGGGGTTTAGACAGACCCGGTCAAATTGGTGACATTCGACGGCCGAAACACCAATAATCTTGCGGGGTTTCCAATCGAGTGCGATTGGTTGGATTCACTTGAAGTTGAAAAGGTATAGTGTGGGTCATAGACGAGAATGAAGTAACACGGCGGTAATTGATCTGTCGGTTGGGTAAGGAGGTGAATTATGTCACGATGGATCGATCAATCAGTAACCAGGCAAAGACGGGAATGTTGAGATGAAACATTACATGCATGGGTTAATTCTATGGACCTAGTGAGAAAATTCCAATGAGGCAGAAGTTCCTCAAATAATACCGCTTCCATAGAACCTCTGGCAATAAAAGATGCAGTTGTAAGGTGTTTAACAACGGTACGGGGATGCAACGGAGGAATTGACAGAATTTCGTCTAAATAGTAGGATCAAATTCGAACTCATTCAGTACCAAACAAAAATTACATTTCTCACCGGCATCCCCTCGGGATAGAGGTTTGCACAGTCCGCCAACACTCAGCAGTTGAAGCTTCATTTTATTATGAATCATTGTAAGTCACCGCTTTGCCTGTGAGTTCTCTCTCTCTCTTGGGTGAAACGTTACGCATGTGTTTCCAAACTGGCTAATGCAATCCAGTAAAACTTCTTTCGTCTCTTTTTGTTTACCCATATGAACGCATCAATTTTTGCGTTTGGTGAACTGTCTTGGTTGCTACCACGTTCCGATAAAATCAAACAGAGAAAAAAACTATTGCATCAATGCACCATACGGAGAGTTCCGCCGTTTTTGAAACGCTGTGTTGGCCAGTTTTGTTTAGAAGAGTGTCAAAGTGTGGTGATGTAGCCGGTGTACAGATCCCACCAAACCTTTTATTAAAGTACGAGGGCTTGGCAAGAGTTCAAGGATGAACAATAAGTTTTATTTGTTACATACGAATAGGTAATAGATTTACTCGAAGTTCTCTCCGACAGCGTTCACGCACGGTTCCATTTGGTGAAACGGCTCAACCATGCTGAAGAGGGTAACCCTTCGACCAGTTCAATAAAAGTCTCCATTGCAGCTGCGGGTAACTCATATCGGATTCCACGCATCAAGCATTTGATTTTTGGGGACACACGGAACAATCTCTGAGTGAAAGCCCAACGTCCTGGATGCGTGCCGTAGCCAGAAAATCGCGGACAACATGGGACCAGCTGTAGGTGCGTTGTTACGGTGCAACAAGGTCTCTCGTGTCGAGCCCTTGGGCGAAGCCTGGCAACAGCTTCCAGCACTTTCGTGAGATGGTGAGTGGCTTACCATACTCCGGTAACTATGCTTTGCTGTACGAGCGGTACAGTAGCCACATAACAGGTTTTGACCAGCCACCACGTACTTTGCCACAATGCACTCGCGTCTGAATTTCCGAGACGACACCCCACCAACCGGAGTCCACTGAGCCCATTGTTGCTTGATTTCTGAGTCGAAACTGTACACCTAGGTCTCACTACCACTGATGATCTCCGAAAAGCATTGAATTGTCCACCATCAAACCCGGCAAACATGTCGCGGTATATGTTCAACAGAGCTGAGTGCTGCTGGTGGCGTCTGGGTGTGGCAAATAGAAGAGATATTATTATTATTATTACTTATCACCGGTTTGAGGGCAAGCATATTGACAACACCACGACAATAGTAACGATAACAGCGGATGGGGGGGGGGGGAGATTGGGATGTAGAACACATTGCCAGGATTCTTCATGAATTCTTCCATAGAGGTAAGAGTTAGTCACTGATCTATGTTAGGGCAACCGTGGATCGAATACTATACCCACCTCAACTTATGACTCCCTTAAAGCTTTGTTTGTAGAATCGGGTATAATTGGGAGTTTTTCTTGTAACCGCATAACTAATTCAATAAACCATAATGAGCTCGTCGAGGTAGTCAGGCCCTGAAAAATGCTACCATGATGGTATATGATGTAATAAGAATAGAAATCAATGCGACAACGTTGAGTAACAGGAAGAGACTGTAGGTGACAGGGTGTTATCATTGGCATTCAACAATAGTCAATCCCGAGGAGTACCTTGAAAAAAATGTACTTGTGGTAGCTCATAAATGATTTCAAATTTGCTCTTGCCATTTATACGCATCACAACCGTATAGTCAATTTGAAAAAAATTCCACTGAACAGGGATAAACCTATTTTTGGGGGGTTCGATGAGGAAGGAGAATTGTTGTTGTTTTTCGTTTGTTCGTTCTTAAAAGCGTAAAGGAAACAGTTGAATTGCTGAGAAGCGTTTCAATCTACTTTTCTCTTTATCTATAGTAGTCGCTGATAATAAACGGTTGATCATTGTGAACACTGTTCTGACTTCATTGCCACACAGAGACTTATAGTTTGAACAAATCGATGAGCAATGAGGCGCGTAGACTCGAAAGTCCAAACACAATAATAGTTTCCTCAATTTTGTGCCAGTTTCACGTGTTGTTCTTTCACATAGAAGTGATTCAAACAGATAACATGTGAATATGCACATTGGTTGTTTGTGCTCTGAATGCCACATTAAGATGTGAATTTGGCTGCAGGACCATAAAGTAATCGGTTAAAGAGCACTGGGATTTTTCCACTGTTATCCGCTTCCCAAACACTTTGATGCAAAAGCAGAAATCAAGCCACCATGTCTGCCCAGTCTTCAGTACAACGTAAGCTGAACAATGAAAATATTCAGCCTTAACTTACTGTTACTTGTGATTACTACTGTAGGATAATTGGTACTGATTTGTACTGAGGTCTGAAAGATGATCAGTTCAAGTCGATGAAAAGCTGAATGAGCTTCCACGCTGACTGAGTAACTGTCAGTTTGAAGTTAGATGAAAACTCTGATATTGTTGTTGTTGTTTTATACCGTTTTCTCCTAAATATATTANTATATTATTTTGTAATCACTCGTGGCTGACACGAAATAGTTCTAATGGCTAATCCTGATGCAGCACATGAAATTCAATGATTGATGGCGTAATAGCGGTTCACTATTTGAACTCCTAGCTCGAATCCCAAAAATGGACGTTACCTTGGGTTGGTGATTTTGCCTCATGGGAATCAATATGGCCGGAAAGTCACCCGCAAATGCAATTGGGCACGGCAGTCATCTCGATCATCACCTGTAGTGTGGCCAATTGCATACTCTGCCCCCTAATCGCTGGTGATATTGTGCGTGATAAAGAGGTGAGTTGTTGCTGATGGCTTCGGGGTCCTCACTGTTATCGTCATTGTCAACCTCTTTCCGGTCGGTATTTCGTTCTTTTGTGTGTTTATCCTGTGTTTGAAAGTTTTATGCTTATCGGTTACGGAATTGGTGAATCCCATAAGGTCTCATTCAGACAAACACGATATTCAGATAAGTGTAGATGAAGTTAGTGGCAGGGTTCGTGTCTGGGATTTCAGAACCCCGCGCAGCTCGTAAGTAATTATTCTTTGCATTCTAAGTCATAATGCCAGTGATTTTGCTGTTATTGTGCTCAAAGATTCTATGCACTGTGAATAGAACATTCAATTATAGCCATAAAGATCGTAGATGCCCATCTAAGCTTCGTGCTATTCTCACTCCAAACACAGATTGGCGTTCTCTCCCAGTTGACACTGTACGGAATGAAGCAATGGGCCTACTGGGGAGCACATTTCTTCACTCATATCTTTCAGTATCTGTTACTGGCCTGCTTCACCACAATTGTCATGTTTCCATTTGAGGTAGGTTTTTTTACTTGAATTTTGTAAAATGTTTCCTCATCATATGGCAAGAATTCTATCATCTTTCTTACTCTGTGAACTGAAGTCAAACAACAACTTGATTATGCCTCCTCACGTAAGATCGCATTACCCTTATTACTTACTTCAGCTCCCACAACATACTGATCCGGTTAAGCTAAATTAAATCAAATTACGATTGCCTACGTTCACACGCACAGACATTGGGCTGTTAAGTGGAGATCCACGTAAGTTGCCAGCTGTTCTGGCCAGTGGATGCATCACGGGCGTAGTGTCAGCACGCATACAGAAGGCTCTATTGGGGTTTGCTGACTTGAGACATCTGTGGCAACGTCGTTACATCTGGTTGTCCGTGAAGGGTTGAGTATATGCTGCAACAGTTCGGTCAGTGCTGCTTTATAGTGCAGAGAATTGGCCCTTACATGAGCAAGATAAAAATAGATAGTCGATGTTTGAACACCGCTGTCTATGATGCATTGCACGAGTTTGGTGGGGAAACCGGACTAGCAATTACTGAGGTTAGGTGTGGATATTTAGGTAATCGCAGTCATCCTATGAAGCAAGTCGTCGACCTCCATAGATTACGCTGGTTGGGACGTGTTGCACATGCCACCAGATAGGTTGCCACGACGAGCGATATTTGCCGAGGCAAGTAACGGATGGAGGAAAGGTCAAGCACAATCAAATTAAGATCTGGCATGATTAGTTGAAAGAATTGGGGATTGTGCGTGAAGGAGGTGAAGTCTGAAAGATGGTCTAGTCCAGTCAATCCATATCAATCATCCCACAGCACCACTCACAAGTAACTTTGAGTGAAATGCGAGTATGCACTTTATTCTGTTGCTTTATCTTCCCGTCAGGGTCATATTCTTTCAGCATGGCAAGTGGTTGTGTTGCACAACTGGATCAACATACTGACCGCGGTGGACAACATATTCATGATCTATTTGAGCTGTCTATTTTTTCAGAAAGCTGGCGGAGCAGTTGTGCTTTTCGGTTCAACAATTATGGTAAGGGTGACCTATCTGTTTGGTGAAACTATTTTGTCTGCATGTGACAAATTAGTGGACTGTGACTCACGATCCAGCTTGACTGACTGATTGAATGTTTCTTTTTTGTTTTTCGTTTCGATTCAGGGGACGGTGTTGCAAACAGTTCCTAGGTTATGATGCAACAGCCAAATAAATACCACGACATTTAACTGGCAAAAGGGTTGAAAACAATTCCCAACATTTCTACTGAAATTTAGCTGGTGAACATTTGGATTAACCTGTTCGGTTTTTCACAGGCACGAGGTACTGTTGATGATGTTTAGTGTGGGTTTTACTCCGTGGGCGACCGTTAACTTCCCACTATTTCAATGCATTTAAATGCGATAGAAATGCTTTTTTGATAACCTACAAAAGGCACTGGATGGTTGTTTCGTCCTGTTTTGGTGCTCATCAGCAGAGCGCGTAATTTCTGTGTCCCTGTCGGAACTCGAATCGCGAATCTTCGGGATGGGACTTCAAACCCATACCCCTAAATTGTTTTTATTCATTTACCGCTGTAAATTTTATGTTTCACTAGGATATTCACTTATGATTGCGGTGGGGATTATGTAATACATACAAGTGACTGTCAGTTGAATGTGAATTCAATTCCAGTCTACTAGACTTACTTGTGGTATTCTTGCCCGAATCTGCATGACAGATTTTCGTCCTTGCAAGGCTTATGGATGGAAGAAACCCACTGTGTGCCCCCCCGCCCGTCACTGTTGTTGAGTCCGAACGAACTCACTTGTGGTCATTAAAACTAGTATTTGAACAAGATTTGATTGTGGTCGGCCCAGGGGTGAGATTGTTAGCACGGCGGTAATCCATGGGTTTTCAGTCGAGGGTTCGGGAGTTCGGGCCCCGGACGGGACTCGAATGAATATGCAACTCGATTTTAATACTTCTGGAGTGTAGGACGAATTGGTGGAAAAGACGATCAGATTTAACGGTGAAGTCGGAAATTTTAGTTTTAAAAACTTACTATTTTATGATGATAAGTTGGAATTGTAGGCACAATAATTAGAATTTTCATTCGATGGCGTTTAAACACAAACCCTACGTTTACCTAAATCGAAGCATAGACCTACATTGGAAATTAGTATCGTTGTGTAATTGACACCGGTCTGAATCCAGACTGTGTGAAAAACAAATCATAATAAAATATTCTTTATAAATAATAGAAATTTCCACGATTTGTTTGCGGGCGGAATGTTGCCAGGTTACCCAAGCCGAAGCAGGTGAATTCTTTTGGGGAGTTCACAATCGATGTGTTCAACTAGTCGAGATTTTAATCCACAACGTAGTGGGTCAGTATGCGAAAACCACACCCCACTGAGAGCCTGTGCCCGGTTCATTGGATCACATGCACTCTGGACGGGATCAAATGTTCAAGGGGCTCGGTGAACCTCGATGACCAATTGATCCCGTAGATGTGTCTTTCGTAAACTCCTTCTTGGTTGCTTTAGGGTCAAAGAGTTTAGCGAACACCAGTAGGCGAACTGCCAGTCGTTCACCAAACCTGCTATAGCCTAGTATATTGGCTTTTCATCCTATCACTTGGGTGGAAAAACACGTGTCACGAGGAGGAAGTGAGTGAGGTTTCCGCAACAGGAAATATTTGAAAAGCTTGCTCGTAAAGAAGCATTTCATGAGGTGTAATGAAAGGGCAATGGGTGACAACCCGAGACAGCTAACCAGACCATACTGGGGCTTGCACAATCTACATTCCGGATCTGTAATGATGCTATACTATTGCTATTGCAAATTTTAAGCAATGGATTTTAATTAAAACAAACAGATACAAATTGTACAATCGCTTGTTGATCACACTTTCCTCCTCCTTCTCTTCCAGATCGTTATTTTTGTCAACATCACACTGTTTTTTATCCCCCTTTCGCTGCTGGAAACATCTTACGCCGTGATTCTCTCGTTATTTCCGTTTGCCGATCCATTCATGTCATTGCTGCTCACGGATTTCGTAAGTCTGCCTGTTCTACAAAATTCGTAGACCGATGTTGTGCAAAAAAACAGCCATTAATCATATAAAATATTCTGATTGTTGTTTCTTTTTGTTCCCAGAGAATTCGATTGGAAAAGGTGTTTCTTTTCGGCAAGACCAAAGCATACTACACACCGTCCCTCTGGCGTCTGTTGCAATACAATCATGTGAAGATCAGTCAAATCACGGTAGACAATTTTATTTTGCCATTTTCTGCCATTCCCATTGGAATAGAAATGTTTGAAACATGTGTTTCTGACGTGTTTCATTTAACTTAATCACGATTTTAACTTTTTTGACAGAGTTTACTTCTTTTACTCCTCCTCTCCGTCTTTACATATTACTTATTGTTGTTGTTACTCTGCGACGTGTTATTTTACCAGATATAAAACGTGCTTTATATATGAACGGGTTTCCAAAGTTATGGTTCATTTCTATAACAGATTTAATTGTTATCTATATGTCAGCAATTTCCTAATACTTATTTTCTTTGAAGGATGATATTTTATGCAATCAAATTCTGGATTTAATACTGTTCTCCTGATTACGGTAATATCCACTAACGATAAAGTCAAATCAAATACACCACTACCAGGCCCTTTTGAATAAAGGGGGTTAGATTCTAAGTGTTTATGGCTGA